CACAATAGATTCTCCCTAGAAACACATTAGAAATATTTATGCGCTCCAAACCTTCTTGTTGTGTGGAAATCGAATTTCAACCTTCAGCATTCAGTTCTCATCTGATAGGGACACACTAGCTCTTCCTCTCAACAATTCCGACTTCTATAATCAACGACTAACCTCTTAGATAATCCAGAAAGAGTTTGACAATGTTAAACTCGTTCATGTCCTCATACAGGTGATCGAAGGAAATAAAAAAAGTCTCGACGAACACGAGCTACAACCTGAGTATCCACATAGGTTTTGCCCTGCTTAATGAGATTATATAAATCTAGAAATCTCTATTTACAGTTATGCCCAGGAACTTAGTTCTCTTTCTCGTGAGCAATTTTCGAGAATATATTGGAAAGCTTCTGAAAAGATAGATTTCAAAAATTCAGCTGAACATTCAATCTTATCTGCTTTGCGGCTAGGCCTGAACGGACGGCACGGTCTAATGGTGGGTCCTACCTGCTACTCATTCACTTGGAATGCTTCTTACAAGACAAAAAAGCAGTTAATACATCTGAATTCACTCAAAATATTAAAATGAATCTGAGAAAGATTGAACTAAGACGTACGATCAACTTACAAGTCATCAAACTGAGCCAGATGCTGGTACTCTCCTGTTTGCAAATATGAAGAAACAGATATTCACTTCATCTCACCGGTTTCTCAATTGCAATCTGGTGGAGACAAACGATGGACCGACCACCTTTACGAGCTCATCAACTGAAAAGAACACAATGAGATCTCACCTGCAGCAGGGTAGTTGAGTCCGTTTCAGGCACACTGAGAACCACCTGTGTATAGAACAACAAGTAACAAAGGTTATAACCATCTTATATCGAAAAAAAAATTAAAGGAAATAAATATTTATTCCAATGTCATCAAAATCTTACAACTCATAATTTGAAATAGAAAAAAGGGTACCTCAGATTAACCTCACAGCTTATTCTCCCGATGATCAACACTTTTCTGAACGATATAAGCGAGTCTGAATTGAAATTCAGAAAAGACGTTTCAGGTTCTCTCGTATCTTCAGAAACCTTGAGCGTCGGGGAGCCGAAAGGACGGACTTCAGGAACCTAGAGCAGGCCGTCAAGACCCCGCAGGGATCTCATTGGCCTCAGCTCTTGCACGTTTCTAACAGGCCAGTGAGCTGGTCCACAATTTTATCAGCGGCCAGGTCGAAACGGACGGCACGGTCAGTAAGTCTGGTGCCCTCAGGCATTGGTAGTACTAGGAGGGATGGGAAAGAGGTTGTCCTCCATCGTCGTTGATTTTATACCCCATCGAACAGTAGGAGATTACACTTTTTCTTCTAAAAAGAAGCTATAAGCTCATTCACCTTCACACACTAATTTACCTAAGAGAACATCCTTGCAAATGTACTACTACAGCTATCTTTCCAATCTTCAGTTGACACAGACGATGGAAACAACGAAAGAAAATCACGAAACGGTCAAGTTAGCTCAGAGTTGGATCCATTTTATTGATTTTTGTTTCTGAACCTCCATATAATACCTGTGAATTCCAAATGAAAACTGTGACTTCTCAAATGAAAAGCTTAGTGCGTGGTCCTGCAATCAAGCACAACCGCTCATGATCATCGCTGCTCGGAATAAAACTCCTACCAATTTCATTGTTAACTTCCTTCTGGAGTGACCGGTGTCCATGACTCAAGAGTAGGTAGAACCTCATAACTCTGCTAAAACTGGTCCAAATCGGATAATTTTTTCTTGATTCGATCCCTGCTACGCATAATATAAATTAGCATATAAAAGGTAATTTTTAAGGCGTCAACAAAAACATGTGTGCACTTACAGTGACCTTTGTAAAGTCCCGTATATCACTTTGTGATTAGAGCGCATTTAATGTTGAATGTCTCAGATTCTAACGATCCCAGGAATACTTTGTCTTAAAATTGTATTGAAGCCCATGCTGATATTTTGATATTCACAATGAAAGAGTTTTTCAGATTTTTTTCTGTCAAAGGCATCAGGCCAAAAACAACGCTTTTCCATTTGTCTCTAAACAGGAATAGAATTTATAGATCAGGATTTACCCGGAAGAGAAGAGAAACAATGAATATGAAACTCAGTTGAAAATGATACATCAGATTGATGATAAGGCCTTGACTATTTCAATGAACAGCGATTCCGTTTGTTGTATGACAACCTATGACGCTGTTTATCATGAGTAAGGAAAATGGCTCAGTGTCAGATGAGACTTGTTGTGTTCAATCAATTGATCCTGACGAGACAACCGGTCTTGCCAAACTGCACAATCGACTGCGATGCATTAGCTCGTATACAAAGAAATGTCTTTGAAAGTATAATCTTTAATCAAAAAAATGTACAAAAACGCATGTAATTGAAGAGTATCAACAGGATGTAAAACTTTGCCAACTATTTAAATAGTTTCAGTCAAAATAGGTGTGTTCAATGTTTCTGGGACGGGATCGGTCAAGATCAATGGTTCTGTAATTATCATTGTTTGAAGTTCTACAAGTATGACAACTCACCAACTACTGTTCCAGAGCCTTCTTCGGCACCGCTACCTTCTCCGGAAGCTTCAACAGTTTCTTCACCGGATCCTTCTCCTGATGCTTCAACTTCTGATTCTTCACCGGATCCTTCTCCTGATGCTTCAACTTCTTCTGATTCTTCTCCTGATGCTTCTACAGATGATAGTTCTCCAGAACCTTCTCCACTAGCTTCTACTTCACGAACATTTCTCACCATAAGATCTTCCAAGTTAACAACTCTCTTAGCACAGCTGACCTGCAAGAAGGTTAATTATCCTCAGTTCGCATAAATAGAATCTTACCTGAATAAGGGCTAATAAAGCGAAAACAATGATGAAACGAGACATGATTGGAATCTAAAAAGACTGACTTGTCCAATGATCTATGAGAGTAAGCAGTTGAATAGAAAGTACGACCAATATAAAAACGAAAATTCATAAAATGAAACTTCTCGAACTTCAAATGTATAAAACACATAATGATGATGAAGACTTCACTCTTGCCTTTTAAGCAGCGAATTTAACACACTAATTGATGGACGCGGGAAAAAGCTGACAGATGATTTGTTGTATGAAAAGTCACAGCATAGTTTACAGTGTGAATGACTAACACGGGAGACGCCTTGATAGCGAAAAATAGTGAGCGAAATATTAAATCATTTGATGTTAGTATCTTAAACCGTCTTCTAAACAAAGAAGCTATTTGAAGACATCATGATCAATCAAGGCTATGCTGTCAAAGTTTAGAAGTTTGGCTGAGAAGAGAAACAAGTGAAGATTGGAATGAAGACTTGTAGCCGACGGTCAAGTCTTTTATACAGAACCTATCTGGACTTAAGCTCGTCCTCCTTCTTGTAATCTAGAACCATCTCCACTACCTTTATTCCTCAAGCAACGCCCACTTAATGACCAAATCAGTTTGATCGTTCACCACCAGAAATGAGAAGTAGACTTGATGCCAAACGGAGTTTCAAAAATCTTGATTTGAAGCTATTAACTATTTAATTATGATCCGAATAGGTTAGTGAAACCTAGAACACAGTTTCACCACAACAGCGTTCCAGTTCTTATTACTAACTTCGAAACGATCTCCTTTACTTCGCCAATCTTCCTGTAAATTCAAGTTCGGTTCTCGAGTAATCAAATCAAAGCTTTGGTACAACAACTATCCAAAAGCCTTAAACTAACTGGAAATGTGTGTTCGTTTCAAACACTCTTTTACCCAAAAAATGTTCAGAAAACTGTTTGACGTTCTGCTTTCTGAAAACTCTTCTCCTTCAGATCTCATCTTGTCTGTCTGACTGTCTGTAAAGCTGAAAGGATGTTTTATTGTTTCAGCACCAATGTAGGAAGACATCAAACTATCCCGAACAAATGTTCACCAAATAGCAATTAAGTCTTCCCCATATCGTATATGGAGTTCATAAACAACACACTTGAAATCTGCAGAACAATCGATACTCTTACATATCTGGCGGCTTCTCTAATTTGTGATTTGCAACAGGTGAAAGCTTCAATTAAGGTCGCATTTGGGAAATGTTAATTCTGTCGTTCCAATTGCTTTTCCTTCCCAAATACAATTCGTTTGGAAAGATCTGCAAGACGAATTGGAAAATACAGAATTTTATTTTGAAAACAACTCAGCTGGACATGTTGTCGCCGATGTTTATGATTGTTGACCTAACAAGAATGCCGGCTGGAATCTGATAAATCTCTTTTTTCATGCTTGAAGGTGCGATTCCCTAATAAAACATCGAGAGATAGGTTATCGTACGGACTGCTTGTTGGAAAATCCGAGATGACACCTTCAAAACTCAAAGTGAAATCTCTCTGAATTCCCATCTTGCATCGTTTTGGTTGGATAGACTATCTGAAAAAGCTAATTCTCACAAGCGATTTAATGCTTCTTGTCTGAAGGCTTTGATCTTAGCGAACATCCTAGAACATCATGGCGAGCTAATGAAGAACTTTTTTCACATTTGATGTCATTCCCAAAGACTGAAACGAGAAAACTTGCAAAGAAACTTTAAAAGCCCATCAGGAAGAAGCCTAGGCACGGTGATTCGCAAGCGATGAAATCCTAAAGCGTTACCCAATAGAATTAGATACCAAATATAGATAAAAGCTTTGGAACCGGTGACTTACCGCCTCACAGATCTGCAGTTCCCAACAGCCCTTCGGAATTATGGTCGAAGTGGGATAAGCAATACGACAGAATATGAGAGAAACTGACTCTTCTGGACTCTACAACCAATACTATATAGCTGACAATGTGAGAAAAAAATGGTTTATTATGGATAAAATGAAAAATTAAAACTTAAAACGATCTTAAACATGCTATTTTCACAGGAAATATTGAATGGCACAATGAGTTAAAACATGAGAACCATCAAAGTGATCATACAAGCGCTGACAATCGATGTGAGAGCGGAGCTATCGGGTGCCATGAAGACACTGTCTCCCTTAGGAAGTGAAGATTTCATCAAAGAGTCGAACAAGTCTCTCTCTTTCTCCTTTTTACCTTTTTCTTCAGTACGAACTTGTGGCTTGTCTGAATCTTCTTCATATTCATCATTGTTTCCCTCCTCCTCATCGTCTTCATCGTCATCGGATGTTCTCATCTTAGGTTCGTTGGAATCATCTTTTCTTCTAACAGTTTTTTCCTTCGAATCTTTCTTGTTGTTAATGACTTTCTTATTTCCTCTCTTCTCAACTTCAGCTTCATCCTCGTTCACTTCTTCATCTTCAACTTTTGATGATTTTCCTTTAGCCTCAGAAGTTTTTTTTTCAGTTTTGTTCATTTTGTCAGAACCAGCCTTATCTTTTTCCTCATCGTCGTCATTCTCCTCTTCAGTTTCTTTTTCCTCAGCTTCAGCCTTCTTTTTTTCTTCAGCTTCAGCCTTCTTCTTCTCCTCAGCTTCAGCCTTCTTCTTCTCCTCAGCTTCAGCCTTCTTCTTTTCCTCAGCTTCAGCCTTCTTCTTTTCCTCAGCTTCAGCCTTCTTCTTTTCCTCAGCGTCAGCTTCAGCCTTCTTCTTTTCCTCAGCTTCAGCTTCAGCCTTCTTCTTCTCTTCAGCTTCAGCCTTCTTTTTCTCTTCAGCTTCAGCCTTCTTCAATTGACTTTGATTAGCATCAGACTTCATACCATAACTAACCTTCTTCAGTAGAGCGCTGAACTCTTTTTCGAACTGTGAGATGATAGAGTCAGATCCACGGGCTTCCTAAAAAAGAGAACTTCTTAAATCAGGATGTGAGATGTTAATCTCACCTTTGTTCCAGAAGCTAGCAAATCCTCCATAATCTTCTTCTCCGCTTTCTTAACAATCTGCAAAGAATCACCAATTAAAACAGATGACTGATCAAGACGCACTTCAATAGCTTCCTTATCACTTTCAAACTTCTCAAATCTTCCACCAACGAAAGATTGTTGTTGTTGAACTTGTTTGCTATCCGTAATCTTCCATGTTTCTCCTTCATATGAAACAGTTCAACAGCTATGAGAAAAAATAACAAGAAAACCTTCGAGTTTTCCTAGCTGGATGTTATATTGACCGTTAGTATTGATATCGTGGGTAACATGGGCAGTGAATTTACAATAAATTGAATGACTGGTCTCGCGTCCGCTCAAGAATTTGATTTCGTTCTCCTGAAGTTTAAGCATTGAGAAGAGAATGACCCTAGTTCATACATTCTTCAAGATTTCATCCTGAACACTTTTACGAGCTGGTATACATCTGAAGGTATGTACATCGTTATCGCTCTATAAAACATATAACAGGATATTCTTGGAAAGTGCGCAAACTTTGTATTCCATAGCAATGAAGCTCTCTTTGTCTATTTCGGACCCACTCATGTAAACTTCGAACTCTGTCTGTTTCTCTCCAGTTGGGATAATCTGTATCAATATGCTTTGAAATAATCTAACTCTATCGCTTACCATGAGACCAGATGCGCAATTTTCAATACAGTTCTTAGAGGAGACATAACATGGATTGTGTTCACCACAACTCCAGGTCTTAAAGCGGATATTCTCAGGAACAATTACTATCACTTACATGGTTATTCACATTAGTGGCAGTTTTAGGTATAATTGTGGTTGGTTCTTCATCGGATGATAAATCATGAACTGGCTCATCAGCCTTGATGATGCTAGTCTCTGAGCTTGACTGCACCTCATCAACATCGACAATACCATCTTTGAATTGCTCAGCAATGGGAGCCGATGAAGCTAAAGCCAGAAGGGACAGCAACACGATTAGAACCTTCATCTGAAACGATATACAAATTTACACGGTAAATGATAAGGAAAACGGATTAAAGATGCCTGTATGGCTCTACAAGGTTTCAAAAGCGGGAGAGGGTTCGAGAGACGGTCTAGCAGTCCGGAAGTAGTTGTAAAGCGATCTACAAACTCTAAAGTACGTGAGAAATCTTGAGAATGTTGCGGGAAATTGTTTCTTACCTTAGTATGCCTTGCCAAAAACTCCTCTTACATAAAGTGGGTTATTGATTGATGGTTAGTAATGCTGAGGTTCTTTTCTATCCAATGATTAAACTAAGTTTGAAGTTTGTCATGATTCGCTTCCGATTGTTTATCGTTCAATTCTTTCTTAGACCAAACCATACACAAATTTGGATGTTGTAATTTGTCACGTAGTGTGAGCCGGAAGTGTTTTGAAATATCTAAACCATACATGATCGCCATGCTTCTATATATATCGACATCGAAAATATTTTGTAGAATGATTGGGATCTGACCTTGTACTACCAAAACACTTGTAAACAGGTAGGAAATCTTCATTTAACAATTGAGTTAAGAGTTTCACAAGCTTCGAACTATTCAGTCTCGTCACCGGTAGAATTCAGCAAGGATTACGAGACAATGAAATTTACCGATATTTCAATACAATTAAATTCTCCTTCTTCTTACATGATGAAACAAACGGTAGTGGGAAGTTGAATAATCTCAGAGACTGCTCATTTCGTCAAGGAGTCATATGCTCTTATACCGAACGTATCCAACGTAACAAACTATTCATTCCTGAATATTTAGTGAACGAAAGTTCAAGTCTTTAGATCAATCTCGAGGATCTTCAACATGATACACTCAAAGATTGTTGAACCAACAGCGAAGTGTATAAATCTAGACAGATGCCATAAATTATTTTTTCTGAAAATATGGCTTTAACAAATCTATCTTTCCCACTGACGAGAAAGCCGTGAACATTCTTTGCTGAATTGAAAATTTATGGTGGGGTTTATGGTCCTGTCACCGGCAAGCCTAACCTGAAATAAACGTTGAGCGTTACCTAAGAGAACATCCTTGCAAATGTACTACTACAGCTATCTTTCCAATCTTCAGTTGACACAGACGATGGAAACAACGAAAGAAGATCACGAAACGGTCAAGTTAGCGCAGAGATGGGTCCAATTCATTGACTTCTGTTTCTGAGCACAACCGCTTCATATAGTACCTGCGAATTCAAAATGAAAACTGTGGCTTCTGACGTGAAGAGCATAGTGAGTGGTCCTGCAATCAAGCACAACCGCTCACGATCATCGCTGCTCGGAATAAAACTCCTACCTAGATCATTCTCAACTTATTTGTAGAGTGAGCGGCGTCGATAGCTCAGTTATAGGCAGGAGCTCATAACTCCGCTCAAAATGGTCGAAATTGGATAATTTTTTCTGAGATGATACGAAATACAATGAAGATCTTACCTGCAGCAGGATAGACAAATCGGTGTACTTGTCGTAGACCTGTAGTAAAAAGTAAAATTCGAACATCGATGATGAGAACCACCTGTGTAAAGCAGGATGAATAGCAACGGTTATAACCATCTTATATGGAAAAGAAAACTAAAGAATATGAATATTTATTTCACTGTGATAGAACTGTCTATTTCCCCTACATGCCAGCCATTGCAACAGTCGAATGGCTGGGGGATGAAAAACGAGTTTTTATTCTCACTTCGGCAAGGAGTTGAACTCTAACTCAACGAAAAATTAACCACGTGGTTTTCATTCCTCAACTGCCTGAAGAAATGACAGACGAGTAATTCAACCTACGAGTGTGCATTACTTAGCATCTACTCGGACAGTCTGCAACGGGATCCATGAGTACAAAAGATATGAATAATCATTGTAACTTACATTTTTCCGTGCATCAGGTTTGTGAATACCAAGAATTGTCAAAACAGTTTTCCTGGAAACTGGGTTCAAACAGATGGTGAGAACAGACTGGATAAGAGAGCTAGTACCCAACAGTATCGCGCAAACATAAACTACGGCTGAACCATCGAAGATTCAGAATAACTTGGTCAATTCAAACTGTACTTGAACTGATTGGGAAAAAGATCGAGAGGGCTATTGCGATAGGAGTACAGCAAGATAGTGATACGGTACAAACCACCTTAAAGACCAACGAAGTGAGAACAAAGGCAAAACAGGGATTACCTGGATCGTTAAAACCTTCAGCACTTTCAGATGATGATTGGAT